AGGCCCATCAGGGGCTCGCCACCGCTGATCCTAACGATGAACGCTATTATGTAAGCGGCCAGACTGCCGTAAGTGTTGCAGTATTCTTTGAAGTGGACCACCATCAACAGCTGGGGGAAGAGGATCACGTAGACGAGGTCCGAGCACATGGACCAGAGGCCGTAGATCGAGGGTATCGTCAACGCCATCACCGTGCTTAGCACCCCGACCACGCCTATCCCCACTCTCATCACCCAGATGATCTCCATTTCCGACGCCTTCAGGTGGATGGTGGAGCCAGGATAAGATAGATAGAAACGGAGAATTGAGGTATACAAATAATAGGTATTGAGTGAGAGCCGATCGTGTGTTTCGTTCGAGTTTTTTTGACCAACAAATTGTGACACGAGAGCATTGGATTGGCCGAGAGAGAGAAATGGAGATGCGGATGTGAGATCTTCGATGCTCGATTCCTCGAGTAGAATTGATATTGCTGTTACGAATGATTCGTATTGTGAGGGATTGAGAAGAAGCTGGGAAAAGGGGGATATGACATGATATATAACGATGTGATGATATGAATGATGAGGCTATGACGAAAATAATGTCGTTTGATGATAATACGTGCTTTTCGACACGCATACGACACGATACGATATTTGTTGATTATGGAATGTTCGGCCATCTGTGTAAGGATGACAGAGAACTTACCCTCTGGCGGAAGATCAATTTATAAACGTTTCTGGCGAACATGGAACTAGCCGAAAGGATGCTACTGTCCGCCGAGGACATCACCGCCGCTGACACTGCCCCTAACCCGAAAAAGGAAACGAAATCTGGCGTCAAATACTGCAAGACCATTGGCAGAATCATGCTTGTCTCTGCCTCGGTGAAGGGATACGGGCCTGTGTAGCCTGTCTCGTTCCAAGCTGGAACAAAAATTTTTTAACACCTCTTACTAATGCATAATGTTTCAAATTAATTGTTTTAAATTAATTGTATCAATTTTTGTCAATTATATTAGAGAGAACAAATGATGACAATTAAGATTAATCTCTCATTCTTTTTTTAAATAGAATTTCTTCGTTAATTATTAATTTATCTGGCAAAATTAACTCGAGTATTGTTCAACATTTATTAAAATTACAAACGATTTACAATATAAGGCGTTATGATGAAATATTTAAAGCAGGTATTATTAATTTAATTTATAAAAATGTTACAAAAATCTGATGATATTATACTCGTGGATAAAAGCGTAGCTATAAAAAAAAAAGAAAAAAACCTCCCTTCGTGAAAACGAGCTGAGATAAGAAACTATTTGTCTTTGTGCCCCGTGAATAAAAAAAATACACACGAGATACCGATACAGTGTGTCCGCATTAGTTCCAGCGGTTCCATTGTGCTCAACCGTGTAGTGCACGAGTCGCATTATCACCCTCACCCTCGCGCCATATGACAGAATCCCACGCTATTGTACACGCTGTGGGATATCAAGCCAACCCTCGCCCACACACCCTTCCGTTACAACACCGACCCGCTTAGACGTGGAACCTTGTAAATACCAGTAGTCCTCTGTCTGCAGTGCCACCAAATGTCAAGTAGGCTACGAGCGCGAGTTGGGAGAAGGGGAGATGACGAGCAAACCGGGTCTAATTCAATCCCCCTTCAACTTCGGGAACCCATGAAAATGTGTTCCCCTTCCCTCCCTCGGACGAAACCAGCCGAGCCAAGTAAGAGAGAGAGAGAGAGAGAGAGAGAGGATGACGCGACTCGTTTATTATTAATACAATGAAATTGGAATTTACTATCCTAAGCGTAACCGTAGAAAATGAACAGCTGGGGGCGTACCTTTTGAAATTTTTATTCATGAAGAATCTTTTTCTTTTTTTTTCGTTGGGAAAATTCTATGTGGAATTATCTACGCGTTTTAGATAGGTGAAATGATCGGGATGAAAAATAATTTTGTTCGAAGAAAAATTAGAGATTCCTTTTTCTCTTTCTCTTTAAAGCTTCTTGTGAGAATGATATCGATCGAGATATTGCAAATATATTTGAATTTTATTTTCTATAAAAAGATATTGCTTGTGATGGTGTAGATATATAAAGAGTTGCATAAAGAAACAATGCAAAAGGAAAGTATATCTTTTTATCCAATCAAGATGATCTAACTGATCTTGATCTAACTGATCTTGATCTAACTGTTCAAAACTATAAGTGATTTTCAGCTCGATTATTTACAATTTTGCAAGATCGATTAACAAAAACTCTACAACAATAATAATGATAATTTTGAACAAGCAATAAGGGATAGGCTGGTTTGTTAAAACGATGAAATAGAAAAAGAGAAGTCGAAGATATATTTGAAATAGATTTTACTCACGCGTTGCTTTGGCGATTGCGCCAATCAGGACAGGTGGTATGGCCATGATAATGCAGCCTATCGCAGCTACGTAGCTCAACACTTGCGCTCTTCCAGCAGTTTTTGAGGACAGGACACGTTGAAAATATACTTGCCAAGGGATACCACCGAATATCAACAAAAGACCATAATCCACGTAAGACCAATATTCCCCAGGCTTCACTTCACCGATCCAATCCACCTCCATGGACTTAAGAGATTGTACCTTTGGATTGGTCCATGCGAATGGAATGCACATCCACTATAATGAAAATTATACACGTCTTTCTTATTAAATATAGTTCAAAAATTGAATTAATACTGTAAATTATCGCGTTTAATTAGCAAAAAATGATGGGAAATTAAATTACGAAGCTGTTTATAGGTTTATCTAGATCAATCTAGATCCGTAGAATTTCGAATTATAACGTGTAAAATGGTGTAAAATGAATACAATTGATATTATCTTCGGTTTGGGAATCCATCGAGGAATTAAAGTGAAATATAGTTATCTCCAAAAAACCTGATGTTATCGCGATTCATTACAGCTAATGAATGATTACCAGGATGGTTTTTAAAATATAAAAAGGAAAAAGTTATTTATTTAATATTCGTTCGGTGATTTCAGATTCGTTGAATTCGTCTAATAAGAAAATATGCTGAAACTTTGACGAAAATAATAATATAAAAAGATAAAATAAAAAGTAAAATACGAAAGATAAAAGAGAATAGAAAAACGGGGGGGAAGAAATTATAACGTTTCTGTGAAAACTATATCTAATATGAAATATAAAATGTTACATTGCTCGTAAATTCTTCAATCTGATGAAGTTCGAAATAAATTGATAATCTGATAACGTTCTGGAAGAAAGAAGTAGGTCACTATCTACATAGCATAGAATGAATTTGGTAATATAAATCCTTCCAGTACTTGAGCCTTTGTATCGATCTGCAAAACCAACTTTAACACAAGACAATCAAACCATTCGACGAAAGTACAACGTTTCATGATCTAATGACAAATTTCTTTTATTAGAAATGGAATTTTTTTTTTTTTTGCAGACACGATACAACATTTATCAAAATACAAATAATTTTAATTTGCAAGATTGAAAATAATGATTGACAAGCTTCGACGTTCTCAAAAGCTTTTTGTGGTCTTAAACTTACTTAAAAAAAAAAAAAAAATAACTAACCACGAAAAAAAAAGAAAGTAAAGAAGAAAAAAAATATATAAGCATTTTGACGAGTTTCAAATTTTAATTCAATTTCAGAAATTGCATACCAACTTACCAATCCTATGAAGATGCAAAAAAGTTGAATAACATCGGTATAAGCGACAGAGTAAAGACCACCGAATAGCGTGTAGAAAACTGCGATACAGGCGCTCAAAATAACCGAGGCACTCTGATTCATGTCGATGATGACTGCCAGCGTCGCGCCCAGAGCCGCAAGGATGCCAGCGGCCCAGAACACCTCACCGCAGAGCGCAGGAAGAAAAAGAAGACCTCCCATACGTTCGCCGAACGCGTCTTGAAGAGGATCTAACATCGTGATGTACCCCTGTTCTCGCATTTTGTTCGCGAAGAATATTCCACCTGTAATCACAAATTGCGATTAAACGGAACTTTTGAGAATTATATTAAATATTTGAGGTATTTATAAGTTGCTAGGGACTTTAGGATTGGAAAAGGAATAAAGGGATAAAGTTCTTTTTTTTGATATATCGAGTATTTCACATTTATGTTGTGTATCTTAAAATCTGAATATATTTATAAAAATTATCGATTTTTAAAAAAAATATAAAAAATAAATTCATTCAAAAATAAATTCAAATTTAATTAAAAAGTTATTTCAAAGATTGGTTAAAAATTAATTTTTGCTATTATAGAAAATTGTCATACAATTTTGATTTTTTCGTTTGTTATACATTTTTTATACATTTCTTAAATGATTGTTCTGTAAATAGATTATACATAGTTTCAACGGATGGTTATACACATGTTTATTCTTTCTCGAGGCCAGTCGATTTTAAAGAGCCCACGTTGGAAAGTTATTACATGTCTTGATTGCAAGTGTTCTATTACCTTAGCTATACTACGCTGTAAGAATTACCAAGTTCTCGAGCGACTATAAACTTCTTCTAACTTCGAAGAAATAAACATTGGGAGATGTTATCAATCGACTCGAACAATTTATATAACGTTATATTGTTATAATTGAATCGAATTAAATTTAAATAGAAATTCCTATTCTCTCAAGTTTGAACCAGTGTTTTTCTGTGAACTGCAACCTTCAAAGAGGGAAGAGAAATGAGTTTTTTTTTTAAATTTATTTATAATATAACTACGTTGGATTCTTTAAAATGCATTTTTAGTAATTATGAGAAAAAAGAAATTATTTGCCTATTGTGAAAAATTTCTCAAGAAGATTGTATCGAATTAAAAGTAAATATCATCTTTGAAATAAAAGCATTTATAAAAGAAAATATCTGACAAAAGTATTAATATTTTTACATGATCATAACGTATCATAACCGATTGAGATAATTCAAGACATGTGTAAAAAGCTCTTTCTTCAAACAGAAAACAACTAACAATAGATAACAATTAAAACAGCTTCTTATTTTAATTCAATGCATCATCAAAAATTAAAGAAACTCCTTAAAATTAAATTTTTATTCGAAAGAAAAACACTAAAATTCTTTCTCTATCAAAAATGAATATACATAACACATAATATATGTTGAAACAATACATAAGTTTTCCAAGTTATAACAAAAATACAGTATCTAAAATACCCTTATAACCTCAATGTTATAAACGATCAATACTTCAAATTTCTCGTACGATCGTATCAACATATACATAAATAACATCACATCGAATATTCACAAGGATATTATTATTCTATCACAATTAAAATAATAATAATTTCTAAAAATTCTAAAATCAATCTGGAAAAAAGGAATATTGAATATTTATAAAATACCTCAACGAATACGTATCGCAATCATAACCTTGACGAAACGGGGGAGACGAGAATAAGATTTTAGAAGGGGGTGGAAGCTTACCGAAAACGAGGCTGAGCGCGTATCCGAAAGGAGCTTGACACCATACCAGGCCCCTCGTGTAGATAGCTTCGGCGGTGCCGTTGATGTATCCACCGCCGACCCAGGTCGCCGTCATCGTGAATATTCCTACGAAAAGGCCGATCGAACGGCCGGCAAGCATCACCTCCTCCTCCGAGTCGTTTCCAGCTTCCTTCTTCCTTGCCGCCCATATTCCAACAGCCAGGATCAGAACGTAGAACAGGACGATTGACACGATACCGGCGAAGTTGATCATCTTCGGTGAGTACGGGTCCACTTGCGTGA